ATAATTTTGGGACGGAAGGAGTATAACCTCACTCACCAAGAGGAGGCTTTGATGGTTTCATCTGAGTAGTATTCAGGTTCTGTTTCCTGCAAATCAAGCAATACCCTCATTATGGTCTTGCTCTTGATTTTCCCTGAATTATCAGTTTTGATGGTCCAATGTTCATCGATCAGATTCTGCATAAACTCGTCTTCTCTTTCCTTCAAAATCTTCATCCTTTTCTCCACATAGTTTAGTCCAAACCATCGCATGAATGGCAAGCAATCAATAATTCCTACCTTTGGAGTTATTGCCATTACCTCAGAGAGGATGTCGTGAAATTCTTTAGCTTCGTTCGAATTCTTGGCATTTTCTCCGTAATACTTTTACTGGCAATCATCCTCATCATGACATTGAAACTCAGCTTGAAGAAAGCCGATTTCAAGTCGGTTAACTGAGCAGAATCCCAAACCGAATCTCTAAAGAGTTTCTGGGTTAAGGAACAAACCTCGTCAACGTGAACGTCGGTCAATAACTGGATTTTGTTGGAGGACAGTAATTCAATGGATGTGATTCTACGAAGGTTTCTCAAGTGTTCAGCGCAAGGAGACCAAACGATGCTGGTGAAGTTATGACCAAAGTATTTCTGATAACTATGATCCGCGTGTGGGGGCTTGGATCCGTGTGCCTTAGACTTTCGTCAATCGCTTCCGTGTGCACGGGTGGACTTGTGTACTGACCCGGCAGTATATCTGAAGTATGTACCTGTGTCTACGGGCTTGTTGACCGACCCAACATTATATCTGGAGAAATATGTTGTATTGTGCAACCCCAATAGGCCAAATACCCCATTGGGCTTGAGAGAGGGTGTTGGGATAAAGAATCTCACATCGGTATTGTGAAGGATCTGTCACCAGTTTATAAGTACCAAAGGTTAACCCACTCGTAGCCAATTGGTTTTGAGATGGAGCCCAATGTGACTTTGACACTTTCCGGACAGATAAATTGCGCGATTCGCCAGAACGATGTCGTTCTTGTTGCGATTATTGGGCTCCCAACATATGTGGAGAAAGACCCAATGGAGAAAATTCTTTGGCCCACTTTTGACCACTTAAAGGGAGTCAGCAGCTGAAAATAAGAATGAGAGGGTGTGTTTTGACTGCAAAAACGGGCAGCAAAGAAAGGGATTTTTCAGTTTGCTGTATCTGGTTCTAAATTCTTGTCGATTGGAGGGGCAAATGGTGTCAGATTGCTCTGAAAGTTTTACTGGAGTTAGAAGGCTCATCACTCTTCATCTTTGAAAAAAGGTTTTGGTTTTCAAGGTCTAGGTTGGGAGTTATATATTTCTGAACATTATTGTAGTTTAGTTGATCTTTTGATCTTGTATTGATATTCTAGTGCCTTTTGTAGCTTGGTTTAGCTTGATTAAGGACTAGATATCTTTTTATTGCTGGAAGCCTTTGTACTCAACTCTCATTTGGTGATAGTGGATTTGATAGGCCTTTTGGTCCCGTGGTTTTTACTCCTTCACATCGAAAAGGATATTTCCACGTAAATCCTTATGTTCTTGTGTGGTTTTGCTTTGATTGTTGTTTCGTTGCTGCAATCCTTCCATTTTGTTTTGGTATTTTATGCTCCTAGATTGTCCTTGCAAATTAGAGAGGTGTTTGTCTTCTTTCGCTGTAATTTTGATAGCTGGATTTATGGATATAGCTAGCTTATTGCTGCTATAACCATTTTCTTTGTGATTGAGCTAGCTGGTTTTTGGGATATAGCTAGCTTTTTGTGCTATAAGCATTCTGTTTGCAGCTAGCCGAATTGTGGGATATAGCTAACTGGTCTGCTGCTATAATCATTCTGTCTGTTAGTTAGCTAGCTGTTTCTTAGAAGCTGAGCAAATGGATGTGAAGATTGCATTTCTTCATGGTGACCTAAATAAAGAAATTTACATGGAACAACCTAAAGGGTTAAAGGTGAAAGGAAAAGAAGATTATGTGTGCAAGTTGACGAAGAGCTTGTATGGCCTGAAACAAGCTCCAAGACAGTGGTACAAGAAGTTTGAGTCTGTGATGAGGCAGCAGGGCTACAAGAAAACTACTTGTGACCATTGTGTTTTTGTGCAAAAATTCTCCCCTAATGATTTTATCATTTTGTTGCTTTATGTTGATGATATACTTATTGTTGATCAGAGTGCTTTCAAGATTGACAGGTTGAAGCAGGAGTTGAGTAAATCCTTTGATATGAAGGATTTGGGGCCAGCTAAGAAGATTATTGGTATAAGCATTTCAAGAGACAGAGAAGCAAGGAAATTATGGCTGTCATAGGAGAAGTACATTGAAAAGGTACTTGAGAGGTTTAGAATGGACAAGGCTAAACCTGTGTGTACTCTTTTAGCAGCACACATGAAGTTGACAGTTGATCGAAGTCCCTCTACTAATGAAGAAAAGGAAGCAATGAAAAATGTTACTTATTCTTCTGTTGTTGGTAGTTTGATGTATGCAATGGTGTGTACAAGGCCTGATATTGCTCATGCAGTTGGTGTAGTGAGCAGGTTTCTTTCCAAGCCTGGAAGAGAGCATTGGAATGCAGTCAAGTGGATTTTGAGATATTTTCATGGAACCTCAAGTTTGAAACTTTGCTTTGGAGGTGGTGAATCAGTCCTCACAAGGTATACTAATTCTAATATGGCTAGAGATGTTGAAACCAAAAGATCCACTTCAGGATATTTGACTACTTTTGCAGTAGGAGCTGTTTCTTGGCAATCTAGGTTGCAAAAATGTGTTGCTCTATCAACAACGGAAGCTGAATTTATTGTAGCTACTGAAGCCTGCAAGGAGTTGTTGTATTTGAGGAGGTTCTTGAAAGAACTTGGTTGCTCACACTGATGATAATGGTGCTGACATGATGACTAAAGTCTTGCCTAGGTGGAAGTTTGAAGTTTGTCGTGGTATTGCCGGGATGGCAATTTCCTCCACATACTCGGAAGGGGGAAGATTTGTTAGGATTATTGGGCTCCCAACATATGTGGAGAAAGGCCCAATGGAGAAAATGCTTTGGCCCACTTTTGACCACTTAAACGGGGCAAGTCAGCAGCTGAAAATAAGATGATAGGGTGTGTTTTGACTGCAAAAACGGGCAGCAAAGAAAGGGATTTTTCATCAAGGGTTTACTGTAGCTGGTTCTGAATTCTTGTCAATTGGAAGGACAAATGGTGTCGGATTGCTCTGAAATTTTTACTGGTGTTAGAAGGCTTATCACTCTTCATATCTAGAATAGGGTTTTAGTTTTTGACATCCAGGTTGGGAGTTATAGATTTCTGAGCATTGCTGCAGTTTAGTTAATCTTTTGATCTTGTATTGATATTTTAGTGCCTTTTGTAGCTTGGTTTAGCTTGGTTAAGGACTTTTTATCTTTGTTGTATTGCTGGAAGCCTTTGTACTCAACTCTCATTTGGTGATAGTGGATTTGATAGGCCTTTTGGTCTCGTGGATTTTACTCCTTCACATCGAAGGGGATTTTTTACGTAAATTCTTGTGTTCTTGTGTGATTTTACTTTGATTGTTGTTTTGTTGCTATAATACTTCCATTTGGTTTTGGTATTTTATGCTCCTTGAGTGTCCTTGCAAATCGGGGAGGTGTTTGTATTCTTCCACTGTAATTTAGCTAGCCGGATTTATGGATATAGCTAGCTTATTGCTGCTATAACCATTCTGTTTTTGGTTGAGCTAGCTGGTTTTCGGGATATAGCTAGCTTGTTGTGCTATAAGCATTCTGTTTCTAAAGCAGCTAACCGGAGTGTGGGATATAGCTAGCTGGTCTGCTCCTATAATCATTCTATCTGTTAGTTAGCTAGCTGCTTCTAATTTTAGCTAGCTGGTTTCTCTGATATAGCCAGCCGGTTTCACTTTGAGCTAGCTAGTTTGTCAAAAAGAGCTAGTTGTTTTCACCTAGTCAGGTGTGTCCTCCCCAATAGTTCTTAGTGAAGCATTCCTCTACTGCAGCTGGTGATGATACTACAACAACGGGAACACAACCAAGCTTGAGGGAAAATACAAGGCCGTGTTTGATGGATAGTTTGGATACAGATTTATGAATTGGTCTTTTCAGCAAGTTGAGATGGCCTATTAAAGGGAGTGTCGGAAAAGGCGTCGGCGGGAGATTTTGAAGCTTGCAGAGAATTATGTTGGTCAGGATGTGAAGAATTATAATGAACAGAGGAAGCACAAATATGTGAAGAGTTTCCATGACAAATTTTGGCTTTGTTTTCTCTTTGCAGAAAAGAAAAATGTTAGCCACTGTGATCTAACTGAGATATGATGACCGAGTGGATTACAGAGATTTGATGGCCTGTCATCAAGAGTCAAACCTTGGTTGAAACATGATATAATAAGTGTTGCATATCTTAAAAATGTGCTAAGTTGAAACTAGGTTTATTACCTCTCTTTCTATAACAAAATAATTGTTATTACAATGACCGTTTATAGACAATTAACATTGCTTTTACATATTTGTTTGTTTCGTTTTCTGTGAAAGAATATATTAATTGACTTTTTGAAAGACAATGCCTACCTAACCTTCCCCTGTAATTAAATTTTGCACCATCCTTTTCAGTGTTGCAAGGTCTCACTTACTTCCGTTAAATAAATTTCCACGATATTAAATATGCCTTCAAACTTTATACTAGAAGATTAACTTGTAATGTCTATAAATAAGCTCTGGAGTATATTATTTAGAAGGACAAACTTGACCAATAGAGAGGATTTAAACTCACTAAAACCACTCTGACTTCAAAAATTAAGAACACGAGAATAATGGCTGGTACTAGTACACTGGTCATCTCCCTTGTTGACAAAGGGTTTTTCTCCCAGTAACGGCAAAGATCGCATCGAGCCACACTAATTGATCCTTCTCTTCTTATAAGTTATTCCTTCCGTCCCGAAATTATTGTCTAGTATTAAAAATGAAAATCTAAATTGGACTAATTCGAGACGGAAGAAGTAAGTATTTTTTTTAAAAAAAAAGTGCTAACATGGTTCAAAAGGATAACAACAATAATCATAAACTCAAATATGGTAGACTCTATCTCAATTACATAAATTATATGTACTGCTCTTAAAAAGTTGCAAGAAATCTTTATACAATGTCAACTTATGTCACATCATAAGCTTGCGTCTGAGTGTATTAACACTATCAAGTATCAACTATCAACAGTAGTAAATCAAAGGTGGGATAGAAGTTTTAACATATTGGACCGAGGATAGCACTTAGCTTCCAAAGGCTGAGCCTTATAAGTTGGAGCCCCAATTCCTTCACTTAGGTCCATAAATTTTCCATTTTCAATCTCCCAATTGAAACACTGGATCAGTGAGCCCAATGCCAAACCCAACACATGCATTGCCAAGTTACTTCCAGGACATCCTCTTCTCCCTGAACCAAATGGTATAAACTTCAACTCCTCTGCCTTTCCACCATTGCCACCACCAAGTTCTAAGCCTTCAAATCTTTCAGGCATGAACTTTTCGGGGTCGTCCCAGTACTTTGGATTACGATGTATGTCCCATGCGTTCACGAAAATGACGGTTTTCGCCGGGATTTTGAATCCTTCAACAATGCAGGCTTCGGATGTCTCGTGAGGAACTAGTAATGGTGACGCTGGATGCAAACGTAAAGTCTCATTGATTATGCAACGAATGTAAGGAAGTCGAGGAAGATCATTTTCCGCAATCAAACGCTCTTGTCCTACGACATCGTCAATTTCGGCCTGAGCTTTCTGTAGAAGATTAGGATTGTCAATCAAATGCGCCATTGCCCACTCCATTGTACTTGCAGTTGTGTCTGATCCAGCTTGAAGTAGTTCCTGTTGATAGTATTTTATTAGAGTCAACTCCCAAAATTTGATAATGGGAAAAAAAATATATTACAATCACAAGTAACAAGAAGCTCCTTCTAGATTACGTTGCTGTAGTACAGATGTAGCCAGCTAGTTCTTAAAAAAAAATTGTCAGCTGCATAACTTGACAAAATTGATCACAAACCGACAAAGTTAACATCAATATTTTTCAGAATTAGTTAAGGAAAAAATTCAAGCAAGAAACAAATGAAAATGAATAGGAAAAAAAGAAAAAAACATAAGATTTGGTCTAATTACTCCCTTTGTCCTAAAATTATTGTCCACTTTTGATTTTCATTTTTAGTTCAATTTGTACTGAAAATAAAAACTGAAACTGGATATTATAATTTCAGGACAGAGGGAATATAAGTTTTATGAGTGTGACACTGTGACTCACCGCCATGAGGTATTTTATGGATTCATCTGAATAGTAATCGTGATCTGTTTCCTGCAAAGCCAGCAATACCTTCATCATCGTCTTGTTCTTAATCCCTGAATCATAATCAATTTTCCGATGTTCGTCAATCAAGTCCTGCATAAACGTATCCCTTCTCTCCTGCACAATCTTCATTTGATTTTCCACTCCATTTGCTCCAAACCATCTCATAAACGGCAAGAAATCAAGCATGCTTGCCTTCGGTGTCAACTCCGTTATCCCATTCAAAATCTCATGAAAAGCTTTGGCTTCTTTCGAATTCTCCACATTCTCTCCGTAATACCTTTTCCCGGCAATCATCCTCGTCATCACGTTGAAAGTGAGGTCAAAACAAGCCGTCCTCATATCAGCTAACCGACCCGGATCTTCGACCGTAACCCGAAACAGTTTCCGAATTAGGGAATGCACCTCGTCGGCCCGAATTGCGGACAAAGACTGAATCTTGTTGGACGAGAATATCTCAATTGTCGAAATCCTTCGGAGGTTCCTCCAGCGTTGACCGTACGGCGACCAAACGAGGCTGGTGTAGTCGTTCCCGAAGTATTTGCCGTACAGAAACCTCGGCCGGTTCGCGAAATTGATGTCATTCTTAACGAAACAATCTCCGGCTGCTAATGGAGATGATACAACGACGACGTGAACTCGACCGAGCTTCAGGGAAAAAACCGGGCCGTATTTTTTGGCGAGTTTGGATAGATATACGTGGGCTGGTTCTTGGAGCAAATAGAGATGGCCTAGAAATGGGATTGCCGGAAAAGGGGTCGGCGGGAGATTTCGAAGCTTATGGAGGATTTGATCAGTTAAGATGTGAAGAACTAGAATGAGAAGAGGAAGGTAGAAGAAGAAGTAAAAAGCTTCCATGAAAAAATTTGGTCCCCAAAAGTACTTTCTCGTTTTGATTTAATTTGAGGGGGCGCGTTTACCAACAAAATTTTTATATTTTGTGATAAATTATTACTATGTCATTAAGTTTTGTACATCTAAGTATCATTATTTTTCTACTTCTATACTTGGTTGGTTTTTTTAAAAAAATTAATTTATGGTATAATAATGTGATGCTGACGTACTCCCTCCCGTAACTACAATTTCTTCAAAATGTAGTTGAATTTATTTATTTCTCCCTAAGAATAATATGATAAATTCTGAACCGATACATATCAATATATCACCATCAAACTAATTCTTCTTTAATGAATACATTTTTTTTTTCTTGTCAACCCTCCAAAATTATCCGAGTTGTCTCTTCAATTAATTTTTATGTGTGTAAAATAGTTTTGTTCGATAGCTTACAGTGACACACTGAAAATGATATTATACTTAAGCCACAAGGAGTTGGTTTGTCTAGTCTAATCACCAGTTCATCACTCCTACTAATATGTAGGCATATTTATTATTTTGATACTTCAATTTTGATGTATGTACTAGCTGTTGGGGCAAATTTGTTGATTCTTGATACCAACTCCTTTTATTTTTTTCCCTCCTAAAAATTAAGGATATCTTTCGGGTTTTTTTTTTTTTTTGGGGGTACTGCTTCTGGCGGGATTGGTATTACAAACTATTCTCGTGTAATCAAGTTACAAAAATGTAAGAAATCATAAGATTTTAAAATGGTTTTCAGGTTGTAATATTCTTGTGTAGCTAAATACAGCTTGCTAAACTAAAAGATCTGGCCACATGCCAACACCCAGATTTCAGCTCTGTGGATTTCCAGCCAGTTTTCACCACGTTCCTTTTATTTCTAAATTTTAAAAATGGTAATAAAAAATCAGTAAATTTGTTCGTGCCTGTTCATGACAAAGGAATGTCAAACCAATTTTTCAGAAGCAATTTTATAGTAGTATATATGCCGGTCCATAGCCAGTGCAGTTCCCATATGCCATACATAAGATAAGAGCAATATTTTTGTAACATAAAAAAAGTTACAGAAGACATGAGTTTTTAACCATTTTCATCTCTCACTGAACTACAAAGGCAGTAATTTCTCACATTATTCAACCTTTTAAATGTTTAGTCTATACACAGATCTAACATGGATAATGATAGGTCATTGCTTGTATGCATGGATGAAGTGGATCACCAATAAATGGACTGAGAAGTTGTTGACTTTTTTATATCTTGGTAATAACTTTTATTCTTATTTCATTTTATTTTCTTGCATGTGAATTCAGCAGCAAGACTGACAAAAATGTTCACTGCAACGTGGAATATATTCATTAATTAATCGACTTAATTAGCTTCTTCCACACATTTTAAACTCTATTACGCAATCGGTTCTAAATTCATATCAATACTCATATATATCCTATCGTTAAAGAAGATCCATATTTAGCCGTACGTGATCCGTACACCCCAAACCAATTAATCATTTTACAATTTTAGTATTTTTCAAAAAAATAAGTTTAGAGAAAGATCCCAGGTAGGATTAACGGTAATGTAAGTGAAAAGCAATACGATATCATCAAGTTTCCACCTCCACATTCAATGTCAATATCATGATTTAGGCGTTAAGTATTTCCTTAATTACCCAAATAATTGAGACACCGTATAAGAAAATAATACTTTTGTTTCAAAATGATAATTCATATTAAGTTCTATAATTTGTATAAATTTTGAAGTACAAATTTTAAAATTCAATATAATTTTTTTTTTTTAGACAAAAGGAGTACATTTATTTCCTCTGCCGCTTGGTTAAAAGATCAATTCATATGCTACTTTCAATGAAGCAGTAGGACGGGTTAATTCTGGCATCGGTAGTTCGGGATCACTATGGCTGCTTCTTTTCATGGAAAACCCCTTCAATAATCAAAGAGCATTACAAATCACTACGTACGGCTGTTGGTAGAGGTAGTTTTGTTATGAATATGCATTCTTTAATATTTCAGTGAAATTTAAATTAGAGAATAATTTTGCAATGGAAGGAACAGTTAGTTTTTCTATAATAATCATGACAAAATTTCATAACTGATTAGACACTGACGATAAGAGAATAACGAAAACCTAAGATGAATGAACATGTGGTGCTTCGATATGAGGTATTAGAGAGCTAATTACATGAGGCAGGACGATTTCGGATTATTTCAAGACGGAAACCGGTTATCAAAGATGGGGGAGAAATTGAAGTAAATTAGGCAGTGATAAAACACTCGGTTACCAAGGTTTGAGCCTTATAAAATAGTATTCTTTTTCCTTCGAAATGATTGTTTAGCTAGCTTATATTTTAATTTTGAAATTGAATGGTATGGAAATGTGAAAAACTAAACTGAACAAATATTTTTGACACAGATGAAATGAAATATTACTTCAAAGTGAAGAGAGAAGTTTTTGCATATTAGGACGTGGCAAACACTTAGCTACCAAAGGCTGAGCCTTGGAAATAGGAATTCCTAAACCTTCAGTTAGGTCCATAGCTTTTCCATCCTCCATTTCCCAATTGAAGCACTGGATCAGCGAGCCCAATGCAAAACCCAAAATATGTATAGCCAAATTATTCCCAGGACATCCCCTCCTCCCTAAACCAAATGGCAAGAACTTCAACCCTTCTTTTCCACCACCACCAATAATTTCTGAACCTTCAAATCTTTCAGGAATGAATTTCTCCGGATCATCCCAATACTTGGGATTACGTTGAATATCCCATATGTTTACGAAAAGTAAAGTTCCATCCCGGATTTTGAAACCTCCAACCATGCAATCTTGGGATGCTTCATGAGGCAATAACAATGGCGCTGGTGGATGCAATCGCAGAGTTTCGTTGATGATGCATCGGATGTGAGGAAGTGAAGCAAGATCAGACTCCAAAATCAAACGCTCTTGTCCCGCGACGATACTGTCGATTTCGGATTGGGCCTTCTTTAGAACATCTGGATTGTCTATCAAATGTGCCATTCCCCATTCCATTGTTGTTGCTGTTGTATCTGATCCTGCTTGAAGCAGTGCCTGTTTCATTATAGTTTAAAAGTAAGATTTCAAAAAATTACTCCAACAGTCATAGGAAATATATAATCCACATTCCAGTTTGTGAATTGTAGTTTTTCTTAGTACATTTTACGAATTATTGTGTGAATTATTTTTATTTTTTATTTTGGAACTGATAAAGAAATATAACATTTTTAATTGATGCTGAAAAGCCAGCATGAAGTCAACCCGCACTATCCCACAAATTCACAAACACACATTGTATGATGTAATTAGCTCTTTAATTTGGCATAACATCCCTTTCTTTGTTTCTTTTTCTCCCTTTTTTCAATTGATTCTTTATTGAAATTAGATAGGTGATTTCGAACACTAGCACGCTACCTACCTAATCTCCTTGTTTGAAATGAATGAAGTTTCAAATTTGATGATCCGCTTTGTTGACATCTCAACAAATTAAAGTGGAGTTTTTTTTTTTTTTAATGAAAGAGTAATATCGTTAACCAAAATTGTTGGCATTCACTATGAACAATCAACGAAATGGAAGCAAAAAGTCTGAACTGAGTTAAAATTGATTATCCACTTAATTTCACAACTCAACAAAAATGGACTTTTGTTTTTGTGGAACGGGATAGCATTAACGTTAACCAAAATGTATTTGTACATTTACTATCAACAAACATCATGGATTGCTTCGAAAAATCTGAACGGGAAATTTCATAATTTACGTGATGAATTCTTCTTTTATGGATTAATAGTGGCAACAAAAAATGTTGAGAAATAAATATAACAAGCTGTTACTAACTCACCAGCATGAGGCTTTTTATGGTTTCATCTGAATAGTAGTCGGGTTCTTGTTGTTGCAAAGTCAGTAAAGTGCCCATCATGGTCTTCTTCTTGCCTGAACTTTCAGTAAAGTTGGAACGAATCTCATCGATAAGACTCTGCATAAACTTGTCTCTTCTCTCCTGTATGTTTTTCATCTCCTTCTCCACACCATTCAATCCAAACCACCGCATAAAGGGCAAGAAATCAAGAACCATTACCTTCGGGTTTAGCTTTGCTGCTTGGGAGATTATCTCATGAAAGGCTTTTGCTTCACCAGATTCCTCAGCATTCATATCTCCTCCATAATACCTTTTCCCCGCAATCATCCTCGTTATGACATTGAAACTGACGTCAAAACAAGATGACTTCATATCATGAGCTGATGATTGAGTAGATGAAGCAGTTCTGGAGAGTTTCCGGATCAAGGATCGGACCTCGTCAACCCGAATATCGGACAATAACTGTATCCTGTTGGAAGACAACAGTTCTAGGGATGAAATTCTACGAATGTTTCTCCAATGTTCACCGTAGGAAGTCCAAATGAGGCTGGTGTAGTTGTAACCAGCGTACTTTGCGTTTAGAGTTTTCGGGCGGTTCGCGAAAATGATGTCGTTTTTCACCAAGCATTCTTCAACTGCAGATGGAGAGGAAACAACAACAGCAGGAACACAACCTAGATTGAGAGAAATTACAGGGCCGTATTGTTTTGCGAGATTGGATAGAGATTTGTAGATTGGCTTTTTGATCAAGTAGAGGTGTCCTATGAATGGTAGTGATGGAAAAGGGGTCGGAGGAAGGTTTTGAAGTTTGTGAAGAATTCGGTTGGTTAAGATGTGAAGGGCTATGATCAGAAGAGGAAGATACAAGTATAGAGTTTCCATATGATCAATTTTGGTCAAATGGAGACTCTGGAGTTCCTAGGTTTCTTTAATTAGATTAGGGATTTGAATATTATATATACAGGAAGTAATGATACTATAAGAAACAGAGAAAGATTCTTTTCATCATTAGTAAAGTTAGTCTATGGTATTAAAAATTAACAATTGAGCTTGGTGAATTTATCACTGGATACACGACATGAGATTTCGTCTTTGATGGCCCCAAAAAAGAACAAGAAGCGTAAAATTTTGAGATGAAAATGAAGGCTTTAATGATTCTGATGATCAATTGCAGTGCAAATTACAGTGAATCACGAATATAGAGGAAAAAACAACAGCGTCACCTACTAACTTGGCATCAATATCTTAAACCTTAAGAATAGGAAAAACATGCTTCACTATAATCATAAAAAAACTGGCTAAGTCATGACTTAGTCAAATAAAAGAAACCGTAAAAAGAATCGGTAACAAATCTCAAAGATTCAGAGTATACATCAAGAGTCTTACATATATTCGATTCGTCCCAAAATTATTGTTCAATTTAAATTTTTATTTTTCATTTAAATTATACTAAAATAAATTATTTTTCTGGAACGTAAAGAGTATTTCGTAACAGTGGGAGAGCCGTTTTATTCGTTTACCGAACTTGCTTAGGCGTCTTTGAAATTGCCTCTTTAATTACTTCAATGTGTGTAAGCTAATTAAGTTTTCTTTTTGAAGATCTTAAAGTGAAATCCATCTGGGAAATTTATAATCGGGGATCGCACGATTTTTCCACCCTTGATCATCTTCCATCTGGGAAAAAACAAAAGAAAAAAAAGTGAGAAAGTAGAATGTAAATATATTGAATTTTGTTCCAAAATCACTAATGTACCTGTATTTCGTAACCAAAACATGTAAGAAAGCGGCCAGGAATGCCTTGGCGTAATCTGCTCCCGGGCATTGCTTCATTCTCGATCCGAATGGCATAAAACATTTTGATACCACTTCTGGATTGATGTCCTGTGTAATCTTCTATATGTTAAAAGAGTTCATTTTTCGGACACATGGTGTGAAATCGCTTGGTCAATAAAAACATTGGAAAAATTCAACTCAATTAGATATTTGACATAACTTTTCAATTTAACTCATTTACCTATAAAATTCAAGATTCCCTAATCATGTGTATAGGGCTGCAATTAATTTCCATGATTTCGTAATTAGGTTGTTATGGCATATGTTTAGCTAATGATTAAGATTCATAATTTTTACTATTACATGATTTCCATCCTTACTTCTAAAACTATTGTCACAACTAATCTGGACGTATTTATCCCTTTCAAAATCAAAATAAAACTCAATTTATACCATTAATGTTTTATAATTATCTCTATAAGATGAGATTACACTGATTCTCTTGTAATTAACTTAATATTTTTTGGATCATTTGTTAATTTAGTTAAAGGACTTAACATACACATGACATCATTCATTGCGTGATTAGCGGAGATTTATTATTCTCATTGAGAATAATTCTTAAAAACAAAAGAAAATACATATAATTTTATCGGATAAATATCCATACATAGACTTACAAATCAAGCAATTGGTTTTCATAAGTTTTTTGTGCAACGAAAGCTAATCCACATAATCATCATCCTGCCAACCTTATCGAAGAACAAATCTGAACAAATTTTATTCACAAAAATCAAAATTTTATAAGTTAAGAACCTGTTTTCTTGCCCAAGACTATCCCGCCCAATGTAGCGATTTTTTCTTTTATTTTTTTTTATCCTATAAACACTGTACATTTATAATGGAAACTACAGTATAACACCGATAAATTAATAATCGATAAATTAATAACATCAATAAATTAATAATTTTTTCCAGTTCCAAGTCAAGACCAGTACAAAAAACAAAGACAGTCGATAAAATAATAAGATAATAATTTTTTTAAAAATCCCTATGTAAATAAAGGTCCCATCAATATCATAAATTAATAATGACTTGAAAAAAAAAACACTATGAGCTTTAGAATCAAAGTATTGTAGATGTTATGAATTTTTTTCCATTATGTACCCAGCCATTGATGGGAGTTTAAAGATTTCCCAGAAAAAATCTCTTTTAATAGAGACATGTTACGTAGATTAGGTAGGTGATAAAATTTAAAATGATGGTGGAGTTTAAATTCTAATCCTATTAGATATAAGGAAATAAAGGAATATAAATCTTATATAGCTTAGCTTAAAAGATTAATAGAATTCTTTGGAATTTTTTTTAAATTAATATTATTGATCAACATATAAATTAATAATTATTAATTTATCGATAAATTAATATATCGATAAATTAATAATTTTTGGGTTCCTAATAGTATTAATTTATAGATATTTAACTGTAACACCAAAATAATATAAATGATTTTTTTCTCTTTAGTTATGGCGACCGTATTCAATATGCTAAACGAAATTGATAGCTCTTAGAGTATTGGATGAAATGTGGACATGTGTATTCCATGATAGAGTTTATTCTAATTAATGACAAGATATTTTGCTTATAATGGTGAGGTGTTAAATCCACACGCTTTTTTGTTAATTTATTATTATCTTTAATTCTAACAACGCAATTATTTTATTAGATTTTTTTTAATAAAAAATCATGCATTATATTGAATTTAAAATCTTTATTCATGAATATATTCTTTTTCCTCTCGGTTGATAGCACCCCGCAACGGGGGCCAAGTATTATTAGCATTAACAAAACATCATAAATTGGGGAGCCTGGACATCCAAATTAATGTGTCATCTTCGAAACACGGTAAAAAAAATTAAAGGAAAGGTTACAAATTATCTAATTTCTCAGCTTTTCAGAGAAATTGGTTATTTACATACCTTCCAACGCCCTGGATTGAATGAAAGGCTGTCTTCAAAGTGAGTAGGGTTCAAATGCAGACCTGAAGAAGCAAGTATAATTCCCCATCCTTGTGGAATAGTATACCCTGTTGACATTATGAATGTCACTTCACAAAGAATAAATCTCGTTTGATGTATATTGAAGGATAACGGTAGAGGAGAAATCACCGGGAAAAAAAAAGGATCGTTGGTCATCATTTTACGCGACTGGACCATAGATTTTTTTTTTTTTTTTTTACGAGCTGAAGATCTAATTTGAAAGAATGACTTCGAAGTGGACAATTTTGAATATTTTGAAGTATTAGTAAAAGAGAATTTTAAAGTGAAGTTAAAACTAATTAAATTCATACCGTTGATAGGGATATCTTTTATGGCTCGACGAAATAGTCCCGGAGAAATGTTTCCCAACCTAAGGACTTCATTGATAACCTGCATTATTTCATAGGGATTAATTACCAAAAACAGTAGTAAAAGGGCTGAATGCCACCCAACAAAATTATAGTATATGGGATAAGAAATATTACTTGAATAGTAAATGTCATGGACTTGAATTCACTCCATGTTAATGGAGTATCTAGATTATCCCGCTTCTTAAGGATTGCTTCATGTTCTGCCTGCAATAACATACTTAAATTAATGATGCAAAGGTTTTTCGGTTTTACTCCCTAGAATTTTGTTTCCGTTTACTAAAATTTTTAAAATATCAACAAACATAACTATTATTATTTGAGACTGTTACATTATGGTTACATTTTTTCTAAGTTATTACGTAGGAAAATGATCATATATTTAACGTGTAAAATATTATTATTATTTTTTTTCAAAACTACAAAGAGTTTGTAATAAAAAATATAACTCTTATTATAAAATGGATAAAGAAAGGATACCAACCGTTAATTCCTCCAAAGTTGTTGGATGTTCAAAGAGTAGCTTCATAGCTAATGCTAATGTTGATGCTGTTGAAGAGGAGATAGCAAATGAAAAACCAAACAATAATTGAGCAATAGCATCTTCTTTGTCGTTTGTCTCGGTTCGGATGTCTTGGATGAGTTGGTCAAGCAAGTTTCCATGGCCCCTGTTGGGTGATGCAAGCCGCTTTTCCACAACACCTTTCAACCACCCTCTCAACTTCTCGTGATTCTAACAATAATTTTTTGTTTCATTGAAATTAGAAAGTTTAATTTGGAAGTTATCACTCTGTCTGAAAAACCAAATAGCTCATATACTATGTTTCGAGACTTGTACTATTACTTTCGTCCCATTAAAATATATAGTCTATATTGAGTTTTGCGATTTTTGCTAAAAATAGTATAAATCAAAAAATTTGATATGTGCTATTTTTTGAAACAGAATGAGTATTTTTTTTTAGACACATATGGAGTCTATGACATAATACGTAATTACGAATTCATGATTTGTAAAAGTACACAACAAATATATAATGAAAAAAAAATATTAAATAAAACATATATATATATAATGAAAAAAAAAAGAAAGAATTCTTTTGATGTTTCACATATGATCGTCATGACATGTCATATCATTTTGATGTGGTAAAGAAATAATATCAAGAAAATTCAAATAAACTTAGTTTTCTTTTTCCGAAATGAGTCTAATTTTATAAACCTGGGATAATGGGATGAAATAAAATAATATATCACTTAACAGAAAATTAATAAGGAAGATGATGTATTATTATTGTAATATACCTGCAAACATTTGTGATATGTAGTACCCGGAAAGTTCAAGGGAAAGCACATTTGTCCTTCTGGCAAGTCCATGTACATTTGAGTCGCATCCAACGGGGCACCTTCATAATCACTACCAAACAGCCATCGCGCGCCAAAATTGACTGTCATCTGTTCTTTTATAAAAAATAAATAAATAAATAAATAAATAATCAACCTTTTTGATCTTGATATTATGCTAGTATTCGAGCAATTTACACGAAACACACATATTTAGTTCATTAACTTTTGTAATGTAAAATGCAATAAATAGTAAAACAGTAAACACGATTCATATCTTTTAATTAATCTTGAGTTAAAAGATATGAAAAATCATACTTGCGTGGCTGCATGTTGTACTTCAACTGATTCTTGATTCGACCATTTAACAAGGGTTTTGCTCGCCATGTCTTCCATTTGAGGGAGCAACTTTTCTTTCAGGGACTCTACCCCGAAGTTACTCAAGATCAAACTCCTGTGGTACTTTTGGGAGGAAAACTGCTTTGCTTGTTGGAATATCTTGGCAAATGTGTCCATTCCCCATGCAACGACGAGCTTACCATCTTGGCGGAGGAGAAAGTGATTAAATTCAGGATCTGCCGTGACGATGACCGGCCGGCCGGCTATATTTGTTCGGAAAATTGGGCCGTACCTGAACCAAGACAAATGAGTAATTTATTTATATCTGAAAATGATTGGGCAGTGATGCATACAAAGAAAAATTGTAATGAATCATGGGTCAAACCTTAAATGCATAAACGTCTAATAAAAAGTATTTAAAATGGATGAATGTGATCATTCTTGTCACTTTTACTTGTAACACAAACCTTAAGAAAAATCACAGAAAATTCTATCATGTCCATCCGTTATATATATATACACGACACTCTAACTGATAAAGTGAACTAAATGGAAGAAAACATTCAAATTATTACTTCTTTAAGTACTACGAGATTGAATATATATGATATTTTGTTAAGAAGTTTTATCAACCCATAATTTTTTTTATTTTTTTTAATTGAAGAAAGTTTCATTAATGGAATTGCAGAAAGTTCCTTACCAATTGACTTACAAAGGGTGAAACTCACTCCATACAATTTCATAAATATCCGAAGGTTTTTGCAAATGGTGCTAAGAAGAGAGTAATGTATTTTCCAACCCTTACAATTCTTTGATCAATTAATCAATCTTTCGGTTAGACTAAATTAACAACTAATACTACATAACAACATTGCAATGACAATAAAAATTAATATGCAGCCCCCTCAGATTTTAAAGATCAATCACTCAACATAAGGTATTCCATCTGTCACAAAACAATGATTCACTTTCTTGAATTAAAATAGTAAAAGAAAATGAACAATTTTTCTAGTGCAAAAAAAAATAACAAAAATAAGAGTACCTTTTGAATCTTTTGGCAAAAAATGCGTGAAGGTCAATAGACGGAGAAGGTAAATTTAACTGAAGAGTTTCACCGATGAATGGAAAGCCCATAGAACCAGGAGGGAGAATTCCATTGCATTTGGGATTGCTCCATGCATAAACATACCGGATTGTAACAATTGCTACAATGGCTACAACAACAGAGCCAATAGTTAAGACCAGATCCATTTGATCTCTTGATTTGGGGAGTTTTGTTGAAATATGTTCGATATTTCAGGGTTTCCAAAGAAATGGCAAATCTGATTCTTTTTAATTAAAGAGATCACTAGAACACACACACACACACAATGAGTCATAGCGATGAGTACAGAACGGAGAAAAGTCATGGGTGTAATTTTCCATAATAGAGTGCGTTAATTTAAAAAAGAAAATAATAATAATAATAATAAAAGTACAAAACGGAGAAAAGTCATGTGGATGAGAACTAACTACTTATCTAGCTAGGTTGCTGGCACAAACATATAGACAAGAGAACAAATCAATCATTGATAGCAGATTCTAAATTCATTGAACGCTAATGTAACTTTTTGCAATTTTCTTATTTAACTTCTACTTGACGTTGATGGTTGCCTAGCCCGGAAAGAAATGCACAACAAAACTGAAAATCAGTAGCTTAACATGGCGTTTCATGTTAATTCGTATTCCTTTCCTTTTCCTTTTTTCTTTTGAAGGAAAAAAAAGAGAGAGAGAGAAAGATGCCAAATTATACAGGCATTTAATAAACAGAGTTCACGAGCAAATATAAGTGGATGCCATATGATCCGTATTTGTTTGATCAAATGTGAATACAGAAGAAAGCTACGTACGCACATGAGTGTTATTTGTAGTGACGACGAGATTATTGGAGTGAATTGTTGGATGAGTGAATCCGGGAGGTAGATCAAGCATGAAAAAGAGAGACCAATTTTGTAACGAATTATTTAATATTTTTAGCAACACGTGATTCGAATAGCTACCGTGTGGTGTTAAAAATAATACTAAGACACATGCTTCCATTGATGTTATTTTTAAAGAAAGGGGGAAGCTAAAGAGTTTCCTTGATGACTATAATTCGTCGTCCTTTGATTCATAAGGAGCTCCTTTTCCAAAATGTGATAATTATGTACTGTATTGTGCATGGTCGTTCTCTTGGTTAATTGTCACTAAAAAAAACAGGTCATTACCCGCAGCTCAAAGTCGTGGGTAAAATGCCTGTGAGGCCGTGGGTAAGTCACTTACCCATAACTTCTCGCACGGCAATTTTGACGTGTGGAATATGTCTGTGTGTATTATCTCTCTCACGGAAGTCAAACTTTGGTGGATAATTTATCCATAACACCTTATGTGGGAGATTCCGTGAGAGATTCGGCTCTTCATTTTCACAAATTAAGAGAAATCACCCACAGAACAACATGAGTAAAATAACAATTTATTTTATTCTAATTTATAATATTACTCACGACGGTCCTGGGTAAAATAAAATTTAAGTTTTTAATAATACTTTTACCCACGAAAATCTCCGTGGGTGACGCACTGAATTGCAAAAAAATTTACCCACGACATGTTCATTTTTAGCTGGAATTACTATTTATATTTTAGCCCCTAGTATTTAGATTTATACCAAATCCAATCTAACAAATCTAATACCAAATTTTAATTCAGCCATTAAATCAAATATTCCAAAAATCATTCGACAAAGTTGTAAAAAACAATACAATCCAATCCAACAACCGTTCAAACCATTGCCAAATTACCAAAAGACATCCATGAAAATTCTAAACCAACACACATCACCTATATATTGATCAACTCTAATCAACCTAGAGTGTGGTTGTCATCATCCTCATAACTTTCATCCCAATCACTAGCATCAGAATCTACTTGATCATTTTTCCCTTTCGACCCTTGAAGAGTTTGATCCTCCTCAACACCAAGATCTCGGAATGGAACACTATTTTGCTTGCACCATAGAGTAATATTCACCGGTAACCTGTCAACAAAGTAGTTATATTAACAATCCGTAAAAAGCTAACAGATTTGGGTTACCACAACATTGTGTCGAAGAAAAAGCATAAAGCACACAAATATCCAGCAGAAAGCTAACAGTCTGTTACCTCCACATTTCCTTCATACTCCTAATCTATTTTCAGCTTTTTCAGAACTCGGTGAGCAAGAAGAAGTTCAGAGCATTAGGCTAGCACACCAAAATCAAAAGTCAGATTTATAAAAGCTAAAAAACCAAGAAAAGCCTAGCAAAAAGTTCATTATAATTTCCCAATCTAGAGTAATCAGATAATGCAAACACAAGTTGTAAAAAAGAGTCTTCAAACAAAGAGAAATAAGGTTCCAAAATCAGTAACTTAATTCTAAATTTTTAGAAAAACAGTGGTGATCAGGACCTCAATTCATTGTGAATTTCCCGTCTAACCAAACGTCCAATTTCGAAGCCATCAAAACCAATAAAAATAGGTTGAACTAAGAGGAGATTCAGTGAAGAAAATCAGAAAAAGTGATTCAATGAGTCGAAGAAATCAGATCCTCAAAAAAGTGTCATGCACCAAATTTTTAGAAATTTGGTTTATCCATAACAAATAGTCATCTTCAAATTCAATTTTTGAGCAATCCATGAGTCCGTTTGATAAATCGTAAAAACCATAGTAAAATACATTGAATGGAGAAGAGATTTATGAAAAGAAATCCCTCAAAACAATTTTAGAACTAGGAGAACTAACCTCTGCAAAACAGTCACCCAGACCACACTATTCTGATAATTTCAGAAACTAAATCTTGCATAGCTCAAACTTCTTTAAAACTAAGACAAATCCAATTGAACTAAAGAAGAAGCAACCAATCTTTGATCAATATCTGAAGCTACAAATTACAATTTGCAACATACCCTAAGGCTCTGTTCGTTTGCATGGCATTGGGGGGTTGGATTTGGAATTTGGGCCCCCAATGCCAAATCCGGTGTTCGGCTGTCTAAAAATAAGATGGCATTGGGCCAATAGCTTCCAATGTCATGATTTTAATTTCGGGCTTGAAACTATTATTTGGGATTCCAAACTCTCATGGAGTTGAACAGTACGCGGGTTATTATCGGGTCAATACCGAGTTATAAGCTATTCGGATCTCTTAAATTTTTTTACAGCCTAATTTGTTATTTTTCTTTTTCTTCTCCTCTCATTGACGAGACAAACTTTTCCATCTCAATTTTACAGCTAGCCCATTTAAGATTGATGAATAAATCACAAAAATATCTCATCTATCAATTCAATCTGAATAGCTCTCAACCTGTTTCAGTATGCGTGATTAATAGCAATAACAAGAGGCAAAGAGAAGAAAACACATCCTGTTTCAGAACGCGTGATTTGGAGGGAAACAGATTCATCGTCGTCATCGGAGGAAGGGGAGAACAGAAGACTGAAGGAGCAGGAGTCGGCGGCGGAGGCGAAGAGGGAGGATACTTGGAGAGAACAAGGGCATCGGCGGAGGGTTCGACTTCAGGAGTACAAGAAACACAACACAAAGTTGGTGATACTGAACGGCGGTGAGGAATTGCCGGAGCATAATCTCCTTCACCGCAGCGGCTTTGGCTACCATATTGTATGTTTTCTTCTTCTCCTTCCTTTTCTTTTCTTCCTTCTGAATTTTGGGTTCCGATGATTTGAGGGATAGATTAGGTTCTAGTATAGATCTAAGCAAAAGATCTTCGATTCAACTCATTTTCTGATGTTTGTTGTTTGGAGATGTCCTCTCTGGTTCATGAGTTTAGTTTTTTATATAATTTCCTTTTTTTTTCTAATTTTTGGCAAAGGTTTATTGGGTAGCCATCATCTTTTCCATACAGTGTGTTTATATTTCGTATCCCTTTTTAAGTTATCATCATCATCATTCCGTGTGCATTTCACTAGGGAAGTTCTCGAGAACTGGGTTTCAATTTACTGCTCTAAAGGGTATGTTGAACTTAATTCCACAATATATTTTGATCAGGGTTTTTGTTTGATTGCTTTGGATTGATTGTATTATTCATGGCCACTGTGACTTCGTTGTTATTAGAAATGAACGTTCTTTTTTTGTCATGCTAAGTTTTTTTGGCTTTTGTTTCTGTTTTGATGCCGTTAAGATGTCATTTGTACTTCACAGTCCGTGTATGTGTAAAGGGGTCACATCTTCTGTGTATTTTGTGGATTTTCTGTGGACTTTTGAATCCAATTGAATCATTTAGTGCAATTAGTGGAAGTTGATGATAGTTTGCTATGTCATTTTTATAATGGAAGTCGTCTGAGTATTTTTGCAATTGACCCTCGTAAAATGGCTACACATAATCTAGTTGACAGAAACCTGCAGCTTGATTGGGACAGTATTTCTCAAAGAGATGATTTGTTTGGAATTTTTGAAATCCATGAAGCTGTGAAATCCTAGAATGAAATATGAGCTCCCAAGAGCTACATTGATTGAGAATTGCACCTTTCGTGTTGCTTGTGTTACTCTTTAGGAGTGTATACTGAAAAATGGGGACAATGAGTATGTTCTTATGATTGCAAAAACATCAAAGGATTTAAATCTTCCGGGGAAATTTATGTTAAACCAATGGAGTGAAAAATCTGAATTTTATGGAATTAAATGCCTTGTTGATGTTGCTAGTATTGATGAGTCCTGTCTTGATTTTGGTTTACTGTTTGATAATGATGCTGGTTTGTTAGCGATACTGAATGCTCGTACTCTGGGTTGTGCAAAAGATGTTCCTCTGTTCTCGAAATGGACTTATTTGGTGGTTATCTTTATGCTATTATAAGGAAAAGAAGGGGATCTTTATTCTGGGTGGTAGATTTGTGTTCCTGCTGATAAGGAAAAGAAGGGGATCACAGCCCTGGCTTTTACTTTCAAACATGGGCTTATCGTAGCTGCTGACCATCCACGTGAGTGTTTTTAACTACTGTTTGAAAATTCAGATGTTTGTCCATAGTTAATTGTTTTAGTTTTAGTACTGATTAACTCTTCGGTTTATTAGGAGGCAGTGTTGATAACCTTATTAAACTTAGTGATTGCTTGGTTGTCATTGTTTCTGGAGAAATTGCAAGGGGAGGAGGTAACTATTGCCATGTCCCTTCACTATTCTGCATTATTTTTATATCTTATAACAATACTACTTCGGTCTTGACTGTTTGAAGAAATATTGGTATTTAGCTCCTAGATTGAGGAAAACATGGTGCAACTTTAATTTTCGTTGATAGATTTGTTATTCTCATTTTCCTGAAACAACATAATGATTACTTTCATATACATGCTAGATTGCAGGAGGAATATCTGTCGATGAGGCAACCACGAGGGTGGTCAGCACCCTGTCTTCTTCTAATGTCACTAAGGACTCTGAAGGTTTGCCAATTGGAGTACTGATTGCTGGGTGGGACAAAGGGGTAATCATTACAACACTCTTTATTTGCCATCTGATTTTAGGTTGAGCTGAAACCTCACTTTATGTAAGAAAAACAATGAGTTTATGGCTTCTTGTAGGTTCCTGTTCTGTATCATGTGAATGGGAAGGGGGAAGTGCTTCAAGGGAATGGTTTTGCCGTTGGGTCTAGTCATGATCTTGCTTTTGGCTTTATGCAGTTATGGTGTGCCCCATTTCCTTGTGCTTGTTTCGAATTTGATATGATCAGCTAGTGGTTTTGTTGTTTCACTTTATAGTCATTTTAGTCATCCTATTTTTCAGTCAATCCTTGCTTTTCTAGTGGTAGTCACGATATGTCCATTGATAAAGCTGCAGAAGTTGGTAGAAGGGCGATTTGCATGGGTGCAATGGAGCTAAAGAGTACTGCGGTTTTGCTAGTGGTATGGTTTGTCAACCCTGTATTTGGTTTCACACAGTAAAGAGTTTTTGTAATTTTTCTTTTCAAGTTGTTTAATCAGCTTGTTACATAGTTCCTAATGCAAAAACTAAAAAAATGGTCCAAACGGTTACTCTGTTATGTGTTTGTTGCACCCCACCTTGATGAGTTTATTTCAATATTCATTTTAAGCTTACCACGTTGGAGCTGATGGGAGTGGACGATGGTCGTTGATAATGAAGACTTGAAAGACTTGTTGGAAATGAAATATAAGCTGCCTCTGTTGAAGCTGGACACAACCAGAGCATGCCCAAGAGTAGTTTAAGAACTGCCTATAGATCCAAATATTGCTCTCATAACTTGGCTGTAGTTTGTGTTTGATGTGTCAAGTGGTGTTAGACAATTCCTAAGTAGTGATTGAACATTCTCTTTTTAGTTTCTTGTTTCGTGACTGTTTCATCTGAGTGGGGGAGGTTGATAAGTATAAAGCCAGATTAGTGGCTAAAGGCTACACACAGGTTGAGGGACAAGATTTCTTTAAATCTTTCTCACCAGTTGCTATGTTGGTTACTGTAAGGTTAGTAACTGCATTGACAGCAGCAAAGAGATGGCCACTTCATCAATTAGACATTAATAATGCCTTCCTTCATCAATATTTGGATGAGAATGTGTATATGACTCCTCCACCAGGATTTTCCAAGGCTGTTGGTTCATAGGTCTGTCATCTTAGAAGATCTTTATATGGTTTGAAACAAGCTGAGAGACAGTGGAACCATGAGTTTACTACACAGCTAGGATCACAAGGGTTCAAACAATTTCTACATGATCATTGTTTGTTCTATAAGACTGCAGGCATTCATTTTTTTGACATTGTTGGTTTATGTTGCTGATGTCTAGATAACAGGATCATCAGAGGAGCTGATAGTTGCTACAAAAATATTTCTTGATCAACAGTACACCATTAAAGACTTGGGAAATGCTAGATATTTTCTGGGAGTGGAGATCTCCAGAGATGATAATGCATCATGTTGAACCAAGGAAAATATGCTCTGGATATCATCAACAGTACTGGTTTAACAGGAAGTGAACCAGTGTATACACCACTTCCCAAAGGAGTGGATTTATAGGATACTAAGAGTCCATTTTACAAAGATGCTGGTCAGTACAGACGTTTGATGGGTAGGCAGCTTTACCTTGGATTCACTAGACCATATATGACTCATGCCACTCAGCAACTAAGTCAATATGTTCATACTCCCAGAGAGGTTCATTGAAAAGTAGCTCTTCATGTTGTCAGTTATCTCAAAGGCAGTCCTTCCTCAGGTCTGTTTTATCCTTGCCATAATGATCTACAGTTGACAGTATTTTCTGATGCAGATTGGGGACATTGCATCACCCACAGATTCTCCATTAGAGGTTTTGTATTTTCCTAGGAAACTCCTTGATTTCCTGGAAGATCAAGAAACAGACAACTGTTTCCAGATCAACTTGTGAAGCTGAATACATAATTATGGCTTCTATAACTTGTGAAGCTGAATACATAATTATGGCTTCTATAACTTGTGAATTTCTCTAGCTTTCTACATTCTCACTGATCTGCGCATTCCTTTGCCTGTGACAATCAAGCTACCATCCATATTACAGAGAATCCCACTTTTCATGAGAGAACAAAGAACCTTGATATTGATTGTCATATTGTTCGTAATCAATACAAGACTGGCTTCATTCAATCATATCATGTTGGCACTCATTCTCAGCCAGCTGACTTATTTACCAAGGTTCTTCCAACTCCTCGGCTCCAATTTCTTCTGTCCCAACTGAGTGTTCGTGATGTTCATCACCCCTAGTCTTAGCTTTAAAGGGGGGTAGTAGATTTCAAAGGACAACTTCAACTTGTCTCATCAGAATCTTCCTTGGATCAGAATGAATTGGCAGAAGCTATTGATCTTGATGATCAGATCATGATGAATATTTTAGGCATCACATAGTTTTACTGTAAATAGTACTTAGTGTATATAATGTGTAGTTTAGTTATAATTGTAAATAACAAGTATACTTGTATATACTAGAGTAGAAAACACACAAATACTCTTAGTATAGGCGGTGTAATAGATGCCTGAATACTTGTATATATAAGCCTACTTAGACACATTAATGTGTAAGATTTTCTGGAATTAATTACAATTTCCTAAATTCTATATTGAATCCCTAATTCCTAGTTTCCAGTTTGAAGCTTTTTCTTCCCACTTCAATGGCGGTTCTTCGACTTTTCATTCTCACTTTGGGTTAATAACTTTTTATATTGCAGAATTATCTCAGTTTTAAGAACTTACATTTTAACACAAAAATAAGTGATGAATTGAGTAGTTTGACTTCAGTCACTTTCCATCACAACTGTGACAACCCGACTAGAACCATTCTGATTTGTTAACATGAATGGTCTGGTCAGGATGTACACCTGGCTAGCGCCGGGGTTCCAATGACGTTTAACAACTCAAACCGCAAACCTTATATTACATGAAAGAACAAAAGGCAAACGCCATTAAAAAACTCAAACTTGAGTTTGAGTCTAGTAACTCCAACATGATTATATTATAAGCAAAAGTTATAATACTAGCAAACGAACTATTTACAACGATCACCACTGCACGAGTTGATCTTTCACCTCCCTACTAGGTTTCCATCTCACTCGATCCTAGGAGGAGATAGGGGAAATACATAATAAATATAAACAGGGTAAGCACCAAGTTTGATGAGGCCCTCACGATACTACTATGATAGTTTTAATCAAACAATATCGATAAAATAATATTCAGAGGTTAAACAGTTTAACATATAATCATTAATTCAACAACATACTACTTCACATTAAGCAACTAGCAATGAGATAGACACTGAGAAATCTCAGTAAGGATCGTCGAAGAGCCTATGTTGCACTAAGATGAATTCCAACCAGATCTCCACAATACAATAACGGTAACGATTTCAATCTCAAAATCAATTCCACTTCAACACCTAGTGGCCACTGATGGGTGTCGAATCCACCAAAATATTTAACCCACTTAAATACTTGTATCAAGCAGAAAGCAGGTTCGATACCACAGGGACGGAGAATACCAAAGAAACCTAATTATAGTTTATAAACTAAACACATACACAAGACGCGACTACTAGAGGTGAGAAAGTGACTTGACAGAGTGATACAACCTAAGGTCATCCTCCTTCGTCTCTATATATTTCATGTAATGACTTTATTTTCACCTTTTGCTACATGATTTATGCTTGATGAGGTGCCGATATATCTTAAGGTCACTCTCGTTATTCCAGAAGGTGTCTTAGCACAAACAAACCAACAATGTCTCTATGTTGATCTCAGATTATACTAAGCCATTAAGTACATAAGCCTTATATGATTACCTATGTCAACAACTATGTCTCTATTTTATTCAGAACCAGAGGTTGTTATCCCCTGCTCATGGACTTGTTTAAACAGTTCTAAACTATGTTATCGGACATGAATTCCATAGTATCCATGCACAAGTATCTAAGTGACAATATTCGATTAGAACACTTAAACTAGGAACATTAAATCATATAGGAGTATTACCAAAACATTCATATATAGAAAGTAGGGATTAGACCTTAGAAAGAGTTTAGCTACACATGTTCAGAACTCTAAATACAAAAACAATAAGGAATACATGTTTATCATCTTTACATATTACAATACAAAGGACTAAAGAGAATGAAACTCAAGGGTTACAGGTTCTGTTCTGAGTGACTTTGGGGAGTCAGTTCGTCGCTTCCCCATACGGCTCTAGAGTTCCTCCTTTCTACTACAGTCCCACTGTTCCTGTAGCTTCTCTCTCTCTCTCTCTCTCTCTCTCTCTCTCTCTCTCTCTCTCTCTCTCTCTCTCTCTCTCTCTCTCTCTCTCTCTCTCTCTCTCTCTCTCTCTTCTAAATCTGAAGTGTGTAAGAGTTGTTCCTTCTACTGCTGATATTTTGAAATTATAAGACCGGAGAGAAGCACTTTTTGCTGTTGAAGTCTCCATGAAATCAAGGAGTCAAGACTTGCTTTTGTGATTATTCCTTGATTAATTTTTTTAAAATCATACGTTATGTCTTGTAATCACCTTTTTGGGATATTTTTCCCCCATGAAATCAGCAGCATCAAATCACTTCCTTCCTTAGCAACAAATCTTTCCAAAAAGCTTCCCAAAAAACTGATTCTTGAGCCTCCAGGCGTGCGGCTCCTTTCTAGTTCACGTCCTATTAGCAACAGTACCAAGAATCACTCTGGGTAGTGACATTGATGCCTTCCCATAGTAGTAGCAATCCTCCAGAATCTTGCCCTTGGCAACATCCACAAGATTTTCATCTTCTTCATTTTCAACAAAATAAGAATTCAAGAATGAAGCAACATCCACAATAACATCGCCTTCTATCATATCATTCAAGTTTAAATCAACAAGCTGACTCGAAGTGTCTCTATGTCGTGATACAAGTGATGAACTATAAGACACAAACAAAGCCTCTAATATCTTTTCTACCTTAGACAAATCCTTAGCAATATTTGCACCATAAGCCTCAAAAATTTTAGTAACATCTTTCAACTTGAATCTAGGATCAAGGGAGGAAGCAAAAAATATAAGTAAATTCACATTATCAGTGTTTGACCAATACTTGTCATACTTCATTTTCATTTCCCACAGCTATCTCTCTTATCCTGGGATCAGAATTGTAACGCATTCTGACACAAATACTCATTTTTAATAACATAGAAAGACCCAGACAATGCAATAGTTGTATCGTTGAAGACTTTAAAGAAAGGAACTAACTTAGAAACAAAATCTCAATCTGAGGCCAATGGCAGCTTTTCTTTAGTTAGCTCAGCTACATAATTCTCATCATACTCCATCAAATCAAAAGCTCTTCAAAATTTTAGTGTAGCAACCAACATTAGATAAAGTAGAATTCCACCGAGTCTCCGCATCTAAACATAGCAAACTCTTACTTTCTATATTTGCCAACTCAACACAAGATCTAAACTTCTGAGACCTACTAGGTGAAGACATTACATATCTAACAGCACCGCTGATTATAGCAATATGTGCATTCAATGATTTCAATCCTTTTTTCACAACCAAACTCAAAATATGAGTAGCACATCTCATGTGCAAGAAGTCACCATTCATCAAGGCTCCATCCCAACTATTCAATTGCTTTTTCAATGTAGGTATACCATTATCATTAGAGCTAGCATTATCATTACAGTTACAACAAGCACTTTTTCAATGCCCCACTCCAACAAAAACCTCTCCAAAGTATAAGCAATTAGAGCAACAGTATGATTAGCAATTGTACAAAAAATTGATGATCTTTTTGTTAAGTACCCAATTCTCATCAATAAAATGAGCTATAATACACAAATAATTCAAATTCTAAATGAAGTCCAAGTGTCAGTAGTAAGACAAATAGCAGAAGGTAATTTCTCAATAAATGTTTTCAACAATTGCCTTTCATTTAAAAGTATCTTATAACACTCACTTGTAATAGCTTTGCGTTTAGGTACCTTAAACAAAGGCCGCAACTCTCTACTATAGGCAATGAATCCTTCATTTTCCACAAAGCTAAACAGTAACTCATCAATCAAAATAATCAAAGCCAAAGAATATTTACACCTTCCATAGCTAAAACCAGGTGTAGATGGTGGCAAAACCCTTGTTCTTTTTTGCCCTTTTCCTACCTTGGCACCCAATTCCAATTTTGTCCTCATTGCCTCAATGTTAAAAGGACACTTTTGACATCGAATGAGATGATTAATCAAACAAGAAGTGACATTTTTAGTTGCACAAGACAAGCTTGCTTCATAATACAAATACTTGGCTCTCTGAGTTTCCGGAGGAAATTCAACAATCACTTCATAGTGTGCCCAAACCCAAAAATGTTTTCTGGAAGTGCCTTGTTCCCCAGCTTCTCTTTTAAGCTTCTTACCTTGTGCACTACTCGAAGGTGCATCAGTATGAATCAAAACCATCCTATCACCACCTCCATCAAGCCACACCATCAGAATATCAAGCCACCACCATCCTAATTCTTTCAAGAAGCGTCGATCTGAAACACAGTTATAACCCCCTATCAATCTGAAACTCAGCTCACTGTTCTGTAAGCACATTGGCTGCATCATTCACCCTTGTACCCCTTTCCTTCTGTCCATATCGGTTTTTCTTCTGGATCTTTCCCACACAAGCCTTAACTAAGCACATTTTTTCAGCACTATTTGGCATTCTAAGTATTTGTATTTTTCACCTCACCAGGCCTGAGGACACTCCTCTCTTTGGTTGTCATGCCTCAGCTCTCAAGGGTTTATAGTGCCATATTAGACACTCTGCCTATACTCCCTCAATTAGCTAAACAGAAAACCTTAGATTAATCCGCCTACTTCCCCTTTTCCCCAGGTATTTCAGGCTATTCCAAACCACTATGAGGTCGAATCGAAACTGCCATAATGCGTAGGGTTTGCATTAATCTCTATCCAGGTTTACAGTCCCCCCAGGTTAAAAAACAAGTGAGCTCCAGTACAGATCACAGCAATGCAAGGAATTTTTCAATTTTAAGCATTTTAAGTCCAGGAACACACATTATCAAGTGACTTTGTGACATGAAGAAGTGGAAGCAAGTTCAGAGATGATCAAGACAGTTCTAAACAAGTGTTCAGCCAAATTTTGAGATTCAATTTATTTTCATCATCGATAATTGACTATCTATTGAGCATGCGTTTTCTACTTTCCTAGACACAGAAAGATAGAAGACTGACTCGATCACAGAAAGGGACACAGAAAACAAAACAACAGAAGAAAAATAGAAAAAATAGGGCAAGTGCCCAAAAACAAAGACTCAAATAGACAGAAAAAAAATAGAGACAAAGAGAGATTTAGAAGACTAATTCCTAGACATGGTTGGTTCTCTCCACACCCTTCCCCAAACTTAAAATCTAGCATTGCCCTCATTGCTGAGTAAAAAAAAATGGAAGAGGAGATGAAGAAAAGCAATATACACACTGAAACAGAAAAATGCAATTACCAACAAAAAAAGAAAAAGAAAAAGGAACTAGGGACTCCCCTGGTGACTCTATAGGTTCATCCCATCAAAGGGATGAGGTGGTGGTCCTTGTGGCATGTTGCAATCACTGCTGCATCCCATCCTCTCATGGAGATGCTAGATCATTTCTTCTTGCCTAATAGCCAAGCGATGAATGTAATCCATAATGTACTTGTGTTGTTTTGTGAAGTGCTTCCTTCTGATCCCAGTGATTTTTGGTGGCTTCTTATGTGGTGGCAGGTCTCTAGCCAGTCCCTTCAAACTCCATGGGCGAGATATTGTCTCTTGCAGATCGCCAGGGAAAAATTTGACATTTGCCTTAGCACAGAACATGGTGACAAAGACAGGAAAATACCAACTCCGAACTGCAGAGTCTGTGATAATCGTGATCATCTGATTACGAATGACTGTCGACACGTCAAAAGGGGGTGGAAGTCACAATAGCATATATGAGCAGAGCATGCTCATATGTGACTACTTAGCTGAAATTGGTGGGCATGATAGTGCTGGTGATGAATTCCAGCCACACCTTGTTATCAGGCTTCAACCAAGTGTACAGAAATGATTCAGGGGCTCCCTCCTATCCCAAAGTCCATTCAAGGTCATAACGATCTTCACATAGTTCGTGTAAGATTGCCTTAGACAGATTCCAGCTGGGATTGAGGTTCTTCAGGGCTTCTTCATAGTCTATTTCTATGATTCGCAGCCTAAGATATCCCTAATGGCAGCGGTAGAGATGTTCACATGTCTTCCCCTGACATAAACCACATCATCCTGTGCAGAAACCATATTGCTATAAAATTTCTCACCACTTCCAATCTGGGTTTCATTTGAGGATTGCACAGTTTTGTCTAGTTGTGCAGGAGGATGTACATCTATGGGAAATCCTCTGAAATCCCTCTCTCCACAATGAATTTGCGATCTGTGATTGGTGAAGAAGCTCCAAGTTTCATCAGTGCCATATAGATGAGGGTCTCTCTCGGCTGCCTCTGCTGCCTCCCTCTGCGTTCTAGAAGGTTGCTTAGGCTTGGCAATAGGCTCCTGTGCCACGCCGATCCCCAAGTGCCCGTTAGACACCCTCCTTCTGGCGCCCTGCTTCTTGTTCACCATGGTTATCTGAAAAAGGGTTAGATCATTCTTTTGGAAAAACAGATATGAGAATCAGAAGTCAATGGAATTAGGGCTTAGAAGACAAAAAGGCGTCCGAAATTTTGTTGGTTGTAGGAAGAATTTTTGGAAGAGAAAGAGAGTCTTTCGCAGGGTAAGCGAAAAGGTAGAGAATAATGGCTTTGGGGCGTGAGTGTTACAGTTAAAGGCAACAATTCCCCACGTCTGGTCATTCAAGGTACATAAAGGAAGATGCCTTTCTGACCGCCAAAACACATTTACCCAAATTGAAATTTTCCCCCCAAACTTAAAGTCAAGACCGCTTCCCGAAGTCAAAGCCAAATTACTTGCATTTTGAAAAGTTAAAATGACTTTCGCAAGTCAGAAACTGACTTTTGAAAGTGGTTATCCTATATCTTAGAGTGATGATGCTTTTCCTTATTCCTCCTTATGACATTAGTAAGATACTGATCATCACTCGTCGTGGGATTCCGACTTCTCATCTGGGTTGGAAAATTACCTACAAAACAAAAATACTACAAGAGATAGAGTTAGAACAAAAGTGCTTGGGTTGCCTCCCAAGTAGCGCAACAGTTTATAGTCTTATGCCAGACTGTGCTGAATGTATCAGTCAAGATCATGGAGCAATAGAACATGATTGTCCTGTTCTCCTTCAGAGTGTACTCCATATACGGCTTCAGCCTCTGTCCATTCGCCAAGAATGTGCTCCCTGTCTGTAGGTTCATCAGCTCCACTTCCCCTTGCCTCAGAATCTTGCTGATCTTATAAGGGCCTCCCCATATGGATTTCAGCTTTCCAGGGAAGAGCCTCAGCCTGGAATTGTAGAGCAGGACCAATTGTCCTACCTCCAGCTGCTTCTTGACCAGCTTCTTGTCATGGAAACCCTTTGATTTCTCCTTCTAGATTCAAGAAGACTTATAAGCTTCCTGCCTGAATTCCTCCAATTCAGTCAGTTGCAGAAGCCTATGCTCCCTGCTGAGTTTTGGATCCAAATTTAACTCCCTCAAGGCCCAATATGCCTTGTGTTCTAACTCAACAGGAAGGTGGCATACTTTTCCATACACCAATTTGAATGTAGACATGCCAATTGGAGTCTTAAAAGTAGTCCTGTATGCCTAGAGAACATCATCAAGCTTAGGGACCAGTCAGTCTTTGAACTGCTGACTACCTTCTCCAATATCCTCTTGATCTCTCTTTTAGACACCTCTGCTTGACCATTGGACTATGGATGATAAGGTGTAGAAACCTTGTGCTTGATACCAAACTGAACCATCAGATTAGTGAAAGCTCTATAGCAGAAGTGAGAACCTTCATCACCGATTATGGCTCTTGGAGTACCAAAACGAGAGAAGATGTTCTTGTTCAAGAACCTGATCATTGTTTTAGCATCACTGGAATGAACTGCTACAGCTTCTACCCACTTAGAAACATAATCAACTACAAGTAGAATGTGTGTGTGACCATAAGATGACACAAAGAGTCCTATAAAGTTTATGCCCCACACATGAAAGACTTCTACTTCCAGGATCATTTCCTGTGGTATTTCATTCCTCCAGGAGATATTTCCTATTCTCTGGCAACTATCACAGCTAAGCACATAGTTTCTAGCATCTTTATGTAAAGTAGGTCAAAAGAAACCAGATTGTAGTACCATAGCAGCATTTTTTTCAGCCTCGATAATGTCCTCTATAAGCTGAGCTGTGGCACTTTTCCAAAATTGCAGGTGCCTCTGGTTCTTGTACACATTGTCTGATCAGCTAATCCACACACTTTTTGAATAAGAAGGGTTCATCCCAATAGTATTGCTTTGCATCATGGATAAACTTCTTCTACTGCTAGCTAAGTCTTCCAGGAACAATCCTAAAGACAGCATAGTTAGCATAGTCAGCAAACCATGGCCTATGTTCAAACACTTTGGCAAGTGACTCTGTCACATGCCAAAGTCGTTCATCAGGAAATGCTTCAGCTATTAGCTCAGGATCTTCTGGTGCATTCTCTAGCCTTGACAAATGATCTTCTACTTGATTCTAGATGCCCTTCCTGTCTCTGATCTCCAGGTCGAATTCTTGCAGCAGCAAAACCTACCTAATCAACCTTAGCGTTGAATCTTTCTTTCCGACCAGATACTTTATGGCTACATGATCAGTGTATATTATGACTTTCATCCCCAATAAGTAGGATCTGAATTTGTCAAAAGCAAACACTATAGCCAGCATCTCTTTCTCTGCAGTTGAATAGTTGATCTGGGCTGCATTCAGAGTCTTGCTTGTATAGTAGACAACATGCAACACTCTGTTTCTCCTCTGGCATAGCAGAACTCCCACTGCAAAGTCACTGGCATCAGTTATTGTTTCAAATGGCTGAGTCCAATTAGGTGTGACTATCACAGGGGCAGAAATAAGCTTCCCCTTGAGGTCTTCAAATACCTTCACACAGGACTCATCAAAGATGAATGCAACATCTTTCTCCAGAAGATCGCACAAGGGCTTAGATATTTTTGAGAAGTCCTTAATGAATCTCCTGTAGAAACCTGCATGGCCAAGAAAGCTTCTTACTCCACGAAGTGTTGTTGGTGGGGGTGAGCTTCTTACTCCACGAAGTGCCATAAGGACATGTGAATGTGGTCTTCTCCTGGTCTTCTCCTGGTTTTCAGTAGCAACAACTATTTGATTGTATCCTGAATATCCATCCAAGAAACAATAATAGCTATATCCAGCTAGTCCGTCCAGCTTCTGATCAATGAATGGCAGTGGGAAGTGATCCTTCATGTTGGCCTTATTGAGCTTCATGTAATCCATACAAACTCTCTAAACATTGACACTCTGGTTGGGATGAGTT